AGGTTCAGGCTTGATGTCAGAAAAAAGTACCCACCCATTAGGGCTGCCCCACAGGACAATGGGCTGCCCCTCCCCCCTACCTTGGAGGTCTTCCTCCATCCAGAGGCTCGATACCGTCACCACTTGTTGGGTTTGTTAGAATGGAGATTTTTTTTTTAATTTTTTTTCTCAATTATGCATAAAAAAAATTTTAACTTTTTTTAAAATTTTGAGTTCCAAATTTTCTCCCTCCCTCTCCTCACCCCTCCTTGAGAAGGCAAGCAAATTGACATAGATTATACATGCACAGTCATGCAAAACATTGCCATATCAGCCATGTTGTAAAAGAAAACAGACAAAAAAAAGTGACGAAAAAAGAGGATAGAGATCTTTGTTCAGGCGTGGGTCAGAAGAAGATGGCTGCTAAGATCTCTTCCAATTCACAAATTCTATGATTCCAAGACACTCCTAAGGTGATTCCAAATGGAGGAGAAGGAGGAGGGGAAGACAATGAGCTTCTCAGCAGCCTCCATCACACTGCTTGGGCTCGCTGGCTGGGGAGAGCGATGCCAGGGCTGGTGGAGGTCAGCAGAGCTGGGAGATGGCCTGTGCCCCCAGGACTCCCTTGGGTCTCCTAGGAGCACATCCCTACAGCTAGGAGGGACCTCAGTGCCCATCTAGCCCAACGCTTTCCTTTTACAGAGAGGGAAACTGAGGCCCAGGGGAATGAAGGGGCTCGCCCACGGTCACGTAGACAGTGAGTGGTAGTGGTGTTGCCTGTCCTTCATTTCCAAAGAGGACCGCCGACATCACGGGGGATGTCTGGACTTGCGCTTGAATCAGATTTAAGTGAGGCAGAGCTGCTCAAGGTCGCCAGCCTCGCTCTCTCCTGCAGTCATTGAAAGAAGTGTTAGAAACGGGGTTTGACCTTAGATGCTCCGACTACGGAGGGAGCCTCAGTTCTGAACCAATCCCCAGCTTGGGGTGGGGGGGACAGTGGAAAGAGCCCTGGGTTTGGAGTCAGAGGACTGAGTTCAAATGTAACACCACCTGGGTACCCGCAGGCACATCGCTGAGCCTCCTTGGCCTCGGTTTCCCACTTGCTAAATGAGGGGTGTTGAACGAGGTGGCCCCCAGGTTCCTTCCTAGGATGCTCCGATCCAGTGAACAAAGCAGCATCCCTAATCACTGTCAACAGAAAGTTCTAAGGGAGTTCACTAAAAGCAAGCATCTTTCAGATCAGAGACCCTAAGGCCTGGAGCCTCAGAATCAGCCCCAGAACGAGCTGCATTCCTAGGACCCTTTGTAGATGCTGGTGGGCAGCCAGAGACTGAGACCGCTCAGAGTAAGAGCTCCTCCCAGAGCTGCTTCAGACATGGCCAGAGCTGATACCAGCCTTCAGCGGGGATATCCCTCCCTTCTCCCCTTACTTTGTCTCCTCCCTCTCCCCCTGCCTGGGACAGGCCTGGCACTAGCTGGTGGGCACTTGAGGTAGAGGGGGCCAACTCTCAGAATGAGTCTTCCCTGGTGGGAGGTGAAGGAGGTGGCGTCTCCTGGGGCAGGAGTCCTAACTGAGTCTAGGGGAGTCTGGCCTAGAAAGGGTCATCTAGGGCCTTCTCCGAGGGCTCGTGCTGCGGAGTTCCACACAGCACTGCTGGGAAAGCAGCTGTTCTTGAGCCTCGGTGGAACCTCTCCCGGTTGCTCTGTGTGGGGGAGAGATGACGTCAGGAGTGGTTCCCAGTCTGTCTGTGTGGGCGGCTAGCATAGACGCAGATGCCCAGGAGATTGAAGGAGCAAGGGGACGAGGGGAAGGCAGGGCTTTGGGTTGTAAAGCTACCCGGAGCCCACATCCCCATCACACCCTTCAGTTCCACATCCCCGGCTCTGTTTGGCAGTAGAGATGAGCAAATTCTTGCTCCCCATCCCCCGGTTCGCAGCCCTTCCTTTCCTCCACTCGGAATCACACAGAACTTCCCTTGACAAGCACCTAGGCCAGAGTCCTCTCCTTCCACACATTCTCCCTGCCTCTGCTGCCACGTTTCTCCCTCTCCGAGGGCTGAGTCTTTCTTTCTCCCTGGCTTTGCCATCTCCCCACAAGCTCTGCGCCAGCAGGAGCTGATGGGGGGCTCCAACACACAGCAGCATTCTTTGGGGGCTCAGCAATATCCCTCCCCAATTCTGTTAGCCCAGGTTGGGACAGGAAGGATGGATGGAATCCCCTCTAGTCCAAACTCTCACTCAGAGCAGGAATCCTCCACTCTGCCTGCATGCTTTGGTGCTCATAGGTCTTGAACTAGAAAGATCCTCAGAAGCTATCTAGACCAGGGCCCTCATTTTAGAGATGAGGAAACTGAGGCTCAGAGCGGTAAAGTGACTTGCCCAAAGTCATGCAAGTAGTAAGTGACATAAGCAGGATTTGAACTCAGGTCTCTGACTGTAGACCACCAATTTTTTCCCATTGTAGCAGCCCGCCTCCTTCAGGTAAGATATTAGGGGTAGAGGAAATATAGGCAGGAGGGGAAAGAATGGAAAATTTCTCACTCTAGGCTCCTTCCTCCCCCCCCTTTCCTGGTCTCGTTGAATCTGGAAAGCCTGGAAGCATCAAACACAGATACCAGAGCTGAAAGGCAGACAAGGGTTATCCAGTCCAACCCTCTTATTTTACTGATGAGGAAACTGAGGCTCAGAGAAGGGGTGACTAGCTGAGAACTCCATTATATCCCAAAGCACTGTGAGCTAGTGCTGTTAAAAATCTCTTCCTTTTATTGAGTTGAATTCTGCCTTGTAGTAGCATTCTCTCCTCAGCAGTCTTACTTCTGCCCTCTGGAATCCTAATAAGTCCAATCGATCAACAATGTGCTAAACACTCTTCTAAGATTTAGACATACAAATAAAAAGCAAAAATAGTTACTGCCCTCAAGGAGCTTACATTCTGATGAAGGAGCAAGCATATAAATAAGTGAGAGCATGAAAGGCATATAGGAGGCTGCTAGGTGGCTTCAGATAAAGTGCTGGCCTGGGTCAGCACTTTGAATCTGAGTTCAAATCCAGCCTCAGACACTTACTAGCCATGTGATCCTGGGCAAGTCACTTTACCCCATGTGCCTCAGTTTCCTTATCTGAAAAATAAACTGGAAAGCCAAGAAAACCCCAAATGGGGTCATGAAGAGTTGGACATGACTGAAACAATCCAACAGGGACACAACAATGAAAGGTAGATACAGGGTAGATAGGAATTAGTCTTAAAGGGGAAGACGTTTACAGATGGAGGTGGGGAGGGTAGAGAGAAGTGAAGGGACCAGAAAAAGCCTCCAGCAGGATGTGGCATTTGACTTGAGATTTAATGAAAACTAGGGATTCAAGGAATTGGAAAAGCATTACAGGCATGGGTGACCTCCCGTTCAAAACCATGGACATGGGAAGTGGAGCGTCCGTGTGAGGGAAGGCGAATAGGTCAGTCCTTCCTCCCATGTTCAGGCTTCATCTTCTTGAAGACAGCTAACCACCTCCCCACCTCCTGAGCTCGCTCCCATTTCCTTGGCTTGGTGGTTATGTCCTTATGTTCCCTGCTCTCAGCGGGGAAACAATAGCTCTTTTCAAATATTTGAAAGTCCACCATGTTGGAAGAGGAATTACCCTTTTTCTGTTTAGTGCTAGAATAGCAATGAGTGGAGATTGTAAGGGGGCAAACTGGGCTTGATGGAAGACTCAATTTCACAGGCTCATGGATATGGATCTGGAAGGAGCCTCACAGCCTGTCTGGTTCACTCTCCTCATATTACAGAGGAGAAAACTGAGGACTATGGATGTCAAATGGATGCTCAAGGTCATACACATATTAAAGGTCAAAGTCAGGTCATAGGCTCATCCTTTCCTAGGTCTAGAAGGGACCCCAGAAGCCATCTAGTTCAAGCCTCTCATTTGACAATTGAGGAAACTGAGGCTCAAGGACATTAAGTGGCTGGCTCTGGTCACACAGTTGTGTCACAGGCAGGATGTGAACACATCCTCTGACTCCACAATCTGTGTTCTTTCCATTATACTACAGCCTCCTAATTACAAGAGTCTCAAAGTGGAATGGGTTGCCTTGGGAAGGGGTGGTTCTTCCTCCTTGGAGGTCTCCAAGCAGAGAGTAGATGACCATTTATTGGATATATTACAGCAGGGATTCTTGTTCAGGTCCAGGTTGGACTAGGGGAACAATGAAATCTCTTCCAACTCTACCATTTCTGTGATGTGAGAGGATGGATGGACACATGGCAAAGAGGTTGGGAGAGAATGGCCCAGAATCTCATGGATGCCAGCCAGTTCTCAGGTGTGTCATGGGCTCAGAAAGACTAAGAAACACTGCATCTGTTTTTTTGTTTTGTTTTAGGTCCAGAAAAGGATGGGTACTCAAGCCCTCCCCTAAAGTTTGTGTAAGAGCCAAAGTTAGGCACTCCATACAGGAGTAGAGAAGGCGGGAGTCCCAGGGAGTGAGCTCCCCCTGTCATTCTGAGCAAGTCTGCCAAGCTGGAACTAGGCCAGGGCAGGGAAAGGGAAACACACCTTACCTTAACCCTCTCCCTCCTAGAGAGCTATTCTCCATAGCAAGAAAAAAAAAAAGAGGAGGGATAGATAGTTTGACAAAAGGAACTAACATACCAATCAATTCTAACACTATATACAATGTTCCACCCCCATAGCTCCCCACCTCAGCAAAGAATAGAAGGAAGTGACTTCTCACATCTCTTCTTTGGAGCCAAGCTTGGCCATTATAATCACAGCTTTCAACTTAGATTTTGCCATTGTTGTTCTTTCTATTATGTATATTATTTTCCTGGCTCTGCTTCTTTCCCTTTGCATCAGTCCATATAAGTCTTCCCATGCTTCTCTGTATTTTTCCAGTTGTGCTCTTTTCTCCTTTCTATAGGGTCTCTTAGTCCAGCGCTTCCAAGTTGTGTCCTCGCTCCCACCAGCCTACCACCTTCTGTAGTTCTCTATGGCCTTCCTCACTTGCCTTTGTCTTCCTTTTGTTGCAGGGAGGAGTGAAAGTCCTGATCACAGGCCCGTGGCAAGAAGCCAGCAATAACTACAGTTGCCTGTTTGACCAGATCTCAGTGCCTGCGTCCTTGATACAGCCAGGGGTGCTTCGATGCTATTGTCCAGGTAAGAAGGGCGACTTCCTCAGACCATTGCCAGGCCAGGGGTTAGAACTGACAGATGAATGAATCAGGAGTCAAGAGACAGAGGACTAGGGAGTCAGGGAGGGGCGCACCAAGGCCAGGAGTCTCATCTTAGCACTAACCAGCTGCATAGCCTTGGGCAAGTGATTTCCCCTCTCTGAGACTCAGCTCCTTTCCCTGTAAAATGAGAAAGCCTAAGAACTCTGTGCTATGAGAATGACCAATCCTGGCCCTGGAGAAGGTGAGGAAATATACCTCTCTCCTTTTGTTGGAGTGGTAGGGTACTACGGATTGTTGAATATGCTGTCAAACCAAGTTCATAAGATTTTCTTAACTGTTTTTCTTTGTCATAACAGAAGGCTTACTTTGGGAGATTTTTTTTATACCCAACACCTAACACAGTGCCTAATACATAGTGAGTGTTGAACAAAGCCTGCAATTGATGGGTTGATTTGGAGTGGGAGGGAGGCAGCTTTTTGAATAGATCACTGGACCTGGAGTCAGGTAGACCTGAGTTCAAATCCATCTTCAGACATTTCCTAGCCATGTGACCCTTGGCAAGTCACTTAACCTCTTCTACTTAAGTGTTCTCATTTGTCAAATAAAAACACCTACTCCAGGATTGTTATAAGGATAAAATAAGACATTTGTAAACATTTTGCAAAACATACAGTGCCATATACATTCTAGCTATTATTTTTATAGTGCAGAAATCACTGTTATGTAAAAAAAAAAAGACATCAATAAAACTTTAAATAAACCAACTAACAGATGAGGGGAATAAAATAAATATGGGACTTAATCTGTTTTCTCATCTGTAAGATGGTGGGGGTGGGGAGAGTTAGACTGAATGACATGACACCAAGTTCTAAGGGCCCTTCTTCTCAAACATTGGTGTAGAGGAAAGAGCCCTAAAGCTAGAGTCACAGGGCCTGGGTTTAGATCCTGGCTCTGTGTGACCTTGGGCAAGTCACTTGACCTCTCTGGACATCCATTTCCTCCTTCCTAAAATCAGGGAGTGTAGGTCCTCTCCAAAGTCCTTTCCAGTTTTAATAGCCTATCTTCTACCATTGCCTCCAGTTTTGACATTCTGAGATACTGAGATCTCCAAGATAGAGATGGAGATGCCTCCAACTCCAAGAATTCAATTCCATTTAATTCAGCAAGTATTCCTTAAGTACCTACTATGTACTTAAGTACAAGTACTGTGTACTTAAGTACAAGGCATTCACTGTGCTAGGTTCAAAAAGATATCCTACCTAAAATTGGTGCCAGAGAGCCTCAGGACCACTACCCACAGGACCCTCAAAGACCAAATTAATCCATTGTAAGTGTGGGTCCTTGTGATACCACCCCCTCCCCAACTGAGTACAAGAATGAAGTTAGATCAGCTTCTCAAATAAATCAAGAAATTTTCCAAAGAACAGGACAATATTGTTGGGGGCAAGTTGGGGTGGGAGAGCCCTATTGTCCTTTATACTAGACTGTAAACTTCATGAGGTCAAGCAATATGTTATCTAAACTTTCCCCAGCATCTAACAAGATAGCTAGCTGTAGGATGCTCTGCACATAGAACGTGTTTAATCAGTATTTGTCGGATGAATGGATGGATGGATGGATGGGTGAATGGATGGATGGATGGATGGATGGATGGATGGATGGATGGGTGAATGGATGGATGGATGGATGGATGGATGGATGGATGGATGGATGGATGGATGGATGGATGGATGGATGGAAGGATAGGTGGATGGATGGGTGGATGGATGGATGGATGGAAGGATGGACGAATGGATGGATGGATGGATGGATGGATGGATGGGTGGATCGATGGATGAACAAATGGATGAATTCAAGGCCAAGCTGCCTTTCCAGGAACAAAAGGGGAGAGTGAATATGTGGGCTGAAGGGCTGTGAGCAGGCAGCTCTAGCAGTCACCAAGTCAACATTTTCCACCTGGGCCACCTCAGCTCTGGAGGCCAGTCACTCAGAACCTTCCCACTTTCATTTCTACTTGCTTTCCTGGCATCTACTTGTTTTGTTCTTTCCCTTGAGCTGTTAGCCTGGTCCTGCTCTCCAGCTGCTAGGACTCCTGATCTCCTAAAGGGCAATAAGGGCGAAACAAACTTCAGTTAATCCCCCATTAGAAGCCCTGGGTCTGAATCCTAGGTCGGCAGAGCTTAATAGCCATGTGGCCTTGGTCTGACCTCTCTGGAACACAGTGAGGCAAAGGCACTAGATCAGAGATGTCAAACACTCAGCCCAGGAAGCCTACAGCACTCTCAAGTGCAGCCTGAACCAGAATAAAATGTGATTGGAAAATATTTAAAAAACAAATAGAAATACAATAAAACATAGATCATGTTAATCTGCTGTTTTCTAAGCCCATATGGACTCCTAGGAATCCTTGTATCCAGTTTAGTGCTGCCCCCCCGCCTCGTTTTTATTTGAGTTTGACACCATTGGACTAAATGGCCTCTGAGTGACCTCTACGGTCCCCTGCGACCCTATGTGTCTGCTCCTTTTTGTCCCTCCATCAATCAGTCAAAACAAGCATTTATTAAATGCTTACTGCATACCAGACCCTCTCTGCCCCATTCCTGAGGGCCCAGAAAGAGGTGCACATGGGGCTGCCCCCTAGACCAGGGCTGTCCCCCCTGACTCTAACAAAAAATAAGAGGAGACAGAAGAGAAGATCAAGAAGTGGAGGGCCAAAATGCTGCCCAGGCTTTGCTCAGGCCTGCCATGGGCCCTCCCTCCTCATTCTCTTTTCTTCTCCTCCAGACGTCCTGACTAATTCTTGGGCTTGAGCCATCTCAGATGCTCACCTAGCTATTATTGTACAAAACCTGTAATAATGAAGGGATGGGATCTGCATGGGCCCCCGGCCCTGGAAAGGAGGAGACAACATGCTATTAAACTGTCTATACCTGGTCTTTGTTTGGCCTGAAATACAGATCCTGCCTGTCTCCTGCATGCCCCTGCTCCCTGGTCCTTACCCGTCCTCCTTGGGACAGAGTTACCTCTGCTAACCCTTCCAGACCGAGATTCTGCTCTCTGTCCTGTTGTCCCAGACTCTCCCATGTCTCATCAGACGGAGCAGAGAGAAAGCCACACAGCCCACTCTCCCTCCATGATACCATAATATAATCCACTAAATACTTACTAGGTGCCAGGCTCTATGCTAAGCACTAGGGAGATAAAGACAAACTGGCCTTGCCTTCAAGGGCCTTACATTCTACCTAGAAAAAGAATATATGCACAGATGAATAAATTTGAGGTTATCTGAAAAGGTGGAGTGTACTAACAACTGTGGGGTTGAAGGGGAGGGAACCGAGAAAGGTTTTTCGTGGGAGGTTTCACTTAAATTGAGCCTCAAAGAAAGTTAAGAATTGTAAGAAGCAGAGGTGAGAAAAAAGGCATTCTAGGCAGGGGACAACCTGTGCAAAGGTGTGGAGGTGAGAATGTCAGGTTTGGGAACAGAAGAGGTAATAAGACAACACTATGGTCCATCCAACACAGGGGTTTCAAGCTAGAGACTGGTCAAGATGACTAGACTGTAAGCTTCTGGAGGGCAGTGAACGAATCTTATTTCCCTATGTAGGACAGCCATGGTGCTATAAGCTAAGCTGGTGACTAGGCAGGCACTTAGACTCTTATTCACCCTTACTTTTGAAGAACCAAGCTATTCATCCCCTTGGGCATCACCTTCATGACAGCCACTCTCTTGGTCCTTCCCTTCTGGGGAGTAGCTTGCCTTTCAAACCAAGCCCGTGAGGGGAAATGGTGGATGTCCACATCAGTGCTGGCCCAACCACTGCAATGCACTCATTTGCCCAGAAAAGGATAGATTCCTATGATTTCATTGGTATGAGGAACTCCCAGGAGAGGAAACTCCTCTTACCAATGCAAGTTGGCACCCTCTCTGCATGAAACATCGAGAGTTTGAATGACTTGCCCAGACAGGGTCTGGGACAAGCCTAGAACCCAGGAGACGAGCAAAACAAAGTACTATATAAGGTCCAGAGTGGCAGGGTCAGAAAAGATTTCATAGTTAGGCTTTTTCAGGTGGGTTCTAATTCAACAGGTGAAGAGGGAGAGGGCAGGAATTCTAGATGCTAGAGGCAGCTAGATGGTGTAGCTGATGGGTACCGGCCTTGGAATCAGGAAGACCTGAGTTCAATTCTGACTCAAACACTTACTAGCTGATTTTGTGGCCCTGGGCAAGTCAATTAACTCAGCCTCAGTTCTTCACCTGTCAAACGAGGATAATAAAAGTACCTGCATTACACGGTTGTTGTGAGGATCAGATGTCCTATTTGTCAAGCCTTTGCAAACTGTAAAGTATTATATAAACCTGGCTATTATAATTACAGAAATAGGAAACAACGTAAGCAAAGGTGTGAGATTAGGAGAGAGGGGCGTGGGGCGGAGAGTGGGCCAATGAAATTTGAGTATAGAGTGCATGGAAGAGAGGAGAAAAGATGAAGATTGAAGAGTCGTGGGCACCATATTATGAAGGGTCTTGAATTCCAGGCCAAGCACTTAGAGCTTCATACCTCAGTACTCCAAGGAGTCCAACGTGGGCCCTTCCTCCACTGATACAGATCATTCTGCAACTTAGCAGATGGTCTCCATGAGCTGCTGTGGCCAAAAAAAATCATACCCTCGTGGCCAGCCTGGTGCTGAGCCTCTCCACACTTAGCCAGGCTGATCCCAGGACAAGAGTCCATGACACGGGCCATCCTGGGCCCCGTACTTGGGGTTTTTCCAGCTTGGTCAGACCTGCCAGCACTTATGTTCCACTGGCACAGCCTTTGAGGACCCAAGGTCACCTCCGTGGCCTAAGGCAGTAATGGTCAGAGCAGGGCAGTAATGGACAGAGGCCTTTAGAGCTGTTCCTAATAAACGTCTGCTGGATGGCCTTGTCTGTATCATGAGGGCCCTGGGCCAGACGATCCAGGATTCTGTGGGTGGGGGAGG